ATGGTTAACTGCTCCAATCAAAAAACAGGATGGCTAAATAGATAAGAAAACAAAGCCTGCCAAAACCGGTTTGGCTCAGTGGATAGAGCGTCGGCTTGAGGACTGAAAGGTCCCAGGTTCGATTCCGGTCAAGGGCATGTACCTGGGTTGCGGGCACATCCCCAGTGGAGGGTGTGCAGGAGGCAGCTGATCGATGTTTCTCTCTCATCGATGTTTCTAACTCGCTATCTCTCTCCCTTCATCTCTGTAAAAAATCAATAAAATATATTAAAAAAAAAAAAGAAAACAAAGCCTGCCCTGGCTGAATGGCTCAGTTGGTTGGAGTGTTGTCCCATGCACCGAAAGGTGGCAGGTCTGATTCCCGGTTAGGGCACATACCCAGGTTGCAGGTTCAATCCCAGGTCAGGGTGTGTACAGAGGGACTGACTGATGTGTTTCTTGCACATCAATGTTTCTCTCTCTCTCTCTTTTCCTCTCTCTCTAAAATCAATAAAAACATATCCTTGGGTGAGTATTAAAAAGAAGAAAGAGCCTAGCTGGTTTGGCTCAGCGGATAGAGCGTCGGCCTGCGGACTCAAGGGTCCCAGGTTCGATTCCAGTCAAGGGCATGTACCTTGGTTGCGGGCACATCCCCAGTGGGGAGTGTGCAGGAGGCAGCTGATCGATGTTTCTAACTCTCTATCCCTCTCCCTTCCTCTCTGTAAAAATCAATAAAATATATATTTAAAAAAAAAAAAAAAAAAAAGAAGAAGAAAGAATTTTTAATTAGCCTGGTGCCGTGTGGCTTGGTTTGTTGGCATGTCATCCTGTGCACCAAAGAGTCCCAGGTTCGATTCCCGGTCGGGGCATGTAGTACCTGGGTTGGGGGTTAGATCCCCACTCAGGGTGTGTGGGAGGAAGCCAACTGATGTATCTCTTGCACATCCATGTCTCTCTTCCCCTTCCTCCCTCTTTAGAAAAAAAAAAAATCCATTAAAAAAATTGTTGGAGTATCATATCATTTCATCATTCCCAAGTTCATTGTTACAAATTATCAGGAGTTGTCTAGATTAAAGAATACACAACAATCATGAAATGTTACCTCTGCAATCTTTTCTGGTAGAGGCATGTTGTGAATATCCATCTCAGATGCATTTACTATGGCTTTTGTTTTTAAGAGATAGCTAGAGAGAAAATAGAAAATTATTATTAGACCAGTTAAAATGATCAATGAAGCAAACTTGCCCTATAAAGCAATATCTGTCAAGCAAAGACAGCCTGTATTTTGTAGAAAAAACAAATTATCAAGTAACAAATCATCAGAGAGACACTGTCCTCATCCCACCCCTTGCCAATCAGGAATACATGAGATAAAATTAACCCAGGAAAAACTAGAAAAAAAATAAGGGTGATAGGAATAATCCTGGTGAGTATAAGCTTCACACTCCATTAGATCATGGAGCACAGCTAGAAGAAACAGAGTCACATTATGAAAAATAACTATCTGTTGGCTACCCAGAGCTATTCCTCAGTTCTTTGGTATTAACAGAATTTTGTTTAGGACAGCAGTGTGCCCAGTCCTAGAAGATGAACCATAACTGTTCTAAGCCAATTATGGCAATCTTATTCCCTACTGTCACATACTTGCTGTCCTAGCTTAGGTGATCATGTGACATAGTGCTAATAAAAGATCATTCCTTTTATTCCCATACTTCCCATGGATTCAAATCTCAGCTCCTCTATCTCTCTGAGTCTCGGTTTTCTATCTTATGAACTTAGTGAGGTAAGCATAGCTCCTGGCACAAACTAGGTCATCAATGGCAATTTTTGTTCTTTTGTTTTTAATGATCAAGAAAAGACATTTTTTTAACCTATTGATTTTGAGAGAGAGAAACATTGATTTGTTGCTCCACCTATTTATACATTCACTGATTCTTTTTTTTTATAGACTTTTATTGATTTCAAGAGAGGAAGAGGAAGAGGAAGAGAAAGAGAAAGAGAAAGAGAAAGAGAAAGAGAAAGAGAAAGAGAAAGAGAAAGAGAAAGAGAAAGAGAAAGAGAAAGAGACAGAGAGAAAGAGAGAGAGAGAGAGAGAGAGAGAGAGAGAGAAACCCGAAACCTGGTATGTGCCCTGACCAGGAATAGAAGCCTACACCTTTTGGTGTACAGGATGATGCTCCAACTGACTGAGACACATAGGCCAGGACTTTTTTTTTTTTTTTAATTGATCACAGAGAGAGGAAGGGAGGGAAAGAGAGAAAGCTAAAATCTTTTTTATGAGACAGTGCCTGACTTGAACATCTTCTGTGGTGTGAACATTTTGCCTTTTCTGGAAGATCTTATAAGACTTATTTGATAAAGAACATCTAGCCCTAGCCAGTTTGGCTCAGTGGATAGAGCGTTGGCCTGCGGACTGAAGGGTCCCAGGTTCAATTCTGGCCAAGGGCACATGCCCAGGTTTCGGGCTCAATCCCCAGTTAGGGGCGTGCAGGAGGCAGCCAATCAATGATTCTCTCTCATCATTGATGTTTCTATCTCTCTCTCCCTCTTCCTTCCTCTCTGAAATCAATAAAGAAATATATTAAAAAAAAAAAAAAAGGAACATCTATGTCGCTCTGGCTGGTGTGGCTCAGTTTGTTAGGAGTCCTCCTGTGCACAAGAAGCGTTGCCAGTTCGATTTCCGATCAAGACACATGCCTGGGTTACAGGCTCCATCCCTGGTAGGGGGCATGCAGGAAGCAGCCAATTGATGTTTTCTTCTCACATCAATATTTCTTTCTAAAAATCAATTTTAAAAAAAGAGTAAGTCTACTCACCATTCCATTTTGTCACTGGAAAGGCAGAAGTGACCTTTCAATGCAGCCAGGGCAGCATGGGTAGAATACAGATGGAAACCAATGGGAACCCCACAAGAACTACAGAATAAAAGGTTGTAAGTGCTGGAGGGGAAAAAACACAGAATACGGGTAAGAAAGAAAATCTGTAAATACAAGATAACCAGCATATGAATGCATTCCTAAGAACTATGCTATAATAGGAATGTCACATTCAAGAAAGTTTAACTTAGCCCTAGCAGGTTTGGCTCAGTGGATAGAGCGTTGCCCTGCAGACTGAAGGGTCCCAGGTTCAATTCCGGTCAGGGGCACATGCCCAGGTTATGGGCTCATGCAGGAGGCAGCCGATCAATGAGTCTCTCTCCTCATTGATGTTTCTATCTCTCCCTTCCTCTCTGAAATCAATAAAAATATATTAAAAAGCCCTAACCAGTTTGGCTCAGTGGATAGAGCGTCGTCCTGTGGACTGAAAGGTCCCAGGTTCGATTCCGGTCAGGGGCATGTACCTTGGTTGCGGGCACATCCCCAAACAATCAATAATATATATATATTTAAAAAAAGAAAAAAAAAAGAAAGGTTAACTCAGACTTTAATATGATTACACCCTAGATTACAGATAACCTTGTGTATTCTGGCCACAACAGAAATCATGGATGCAGAACTAAGAAAAGTAATTTACATCTGAAAAGCAGAAAGAGAGCTAACTAATCAGATTAACATTTAAACATATAAAACTATTTAAATTAGCTACCATGACAAAATCAAGTTGACCTGGGCTTACTAAACAATTTATTAATAGAATTCAAATCAGGATTTTTATTGTGCAGATAAAACAAAAAACTTTTTTTTAAAAAATATATTTTATTGATTTTTTACAGAGAGGAAGGGAGAGGGATAGAGAGTTAGAAACATCGATGAGAGAGAAACATCGATCAGCTGCCTCCTGCACACCCCCTACTGGGGATGTGCCTGCAACCAAGGTACATGCCCTTGACCAGAATCAAACCTGGGACCTTTCGGTCCACAGGCCGACGCTCTATCAAACCGGTTAGGGCAATAACATATATTTTAAAAAATAAAATAAATAAAATACATTTAAAAAAATAAATAAAAACCAATGGAAAAATATCCTCGGGTGAGCATTAACAAAAACAAACAAAGCAACAACAACATAATTTTCTCCCTTTTCCTCTCCTAGACATACCTTCTTAGCCTCACTCTACTTGCACAAGCCACTAGGGATATGTGGCCCTCAAAGAGATCTTAAAATCTATCCACAAATACAGCTTTTCCATCGATTATTGCTTCAAGTTCGCAGAAGTCAAACAGGTAAAAGGAACATACTTCCAATACACGGTATGGGCGGAATACACTTTTCTTCCAGCGCAAGATCGCTCCTCGGAATCATTAAGTCAGGACTGGAGACCGATCAGGAGACTCAGCACGTACCTGCCTTTGAGTAAACCTTCAATGCCAACCAGGAAGGGCGCTTCCAAAACAACGTTATTTGTAACCCCTGTGAAGAATTTAAAAAAAAAAAAAAAAAAAAGCGGTCAGAACCAGTACCTGTGCGGCCTTGAAGGGAAAACCTACTCCTCCAGACAGGCTCATCATGGCCACAATAATCAAGAACAGTTTCCCCCAATTTCCAGATATTCATTCCGTTTTCTTCCCCAACCGGCTCTCGGCCACCCCACCCGGGGCCTCCCCACCCGGGGCCCCCTCCGCCTTCCCCAGACGCCGCCCGCACTCACTGGAGAAGACCACGGCCCCGAGGGCCCGCGAGAGGTCCCAGGCGAGGTGCACCGAGTCGGCGAGCACGGCGTGGCATCGCGCGCACTGGAACACCGCGCACCTCTCGGGCCGCAGCCAGGCCGGCAGCCGCGGGCCGGAAGGCGGCTCCTCCGTCCCCAGCCCTGCGGAACCGAGCGGCGAGGACCCCTTCACCACCTGCGTGTCCCACTCCATGGAAGTCGTAAAAGAGGATCCGTCAGCTGTCTTAGTGCCATCACAACAGTCAGCCTCCCGCAGCTCTGCATACCGAGAGCGATGCCGCCGCAGCCGAGCAGCCATCTTCCCGCGACCGCCGCCGCCGGGATTTCGAACGAGCACCAGGACCCGCCCCAAACACGGGTCCTGCGTCTTCATTGGACGCCGCGAGCCCGGGGCCCTGCAGCGCAGGCGCGGCCTGGACACGCCCTTCGGCTCCGAAGCATCGGTGAGGGGTGGGATAGAATGTGCGTTTGCTGAGGGGATCAGCCTTTCTATTGGTCAGATCCAGGAAACCCCGCCTTCGGTACATTTTTAACCAATGGAAGTGCAGCATTCTTAATTTAAACTGTGTATAAATCTTGGCTGGGTCAACGACTGTAGTGCGCCTGAGTTTTGAACCGCGCGCCGAGTTTGGAGGGTACTTCGCCTGGTTACCTGGATTGCAGGTCGGGATGACCGTCCCCTCCCTCGAGGAGCTGGACTCCTTCAAGTACAGTGACTTGCAGAACTTGGCCAAGAGTCTGGGCCTCCGGGCTAACCTGAGGGTAAGGAGCGGGCGGTACCGAACGGTAGCGGGTGGGGCAGGCTGAGCGGCCTTGCGGAGAAGCGGTGGGGAGGGACCGAGCGGGCCCCTGGGGTGAGGGAGTAGGTATGGTCTCGAGTATCCTTTCAACTGCAAAAGTGGGGCGGAAGGGGAACCATATTCTTCACCTGATTTTGAGGCTGACTTTTCTGGGGGCTCCCATAGGCCTCGGCTTCAAAAGGTTTTGTTTGGTTTGGTTTTATTGGAAATACGCTGTGCTACTTCCCAGGGCATCAATTACGAAATGCAGGCCCAGAAAGCTCAAGGAACGCTCTAATGCCCATTAATTGGTAGGCAGTCGCGAAAATAACTGCCTTGGCTTTTGGAAAATTCAACATAGGAGCACTTATATAATTTGTAATAGCACCCAGAATCTCTTAATACTTTATTGGGGGACCTGGAGGAAAGGATGGTTTTTAAGGGACCATCCCTATGGACACATTTTTATAACTCAGCCTTGATCTGGAATGATCGTTCATTTATTAATCACTATTGTGATAGTGTTTCCAAACCAGTAAGGTCTTTGACTCTGAGGCTGCAAAATGTTGGAGGGAAAGGTGGAGATTCAGTTTGAGATTGGGTTTCTGTATTAGATTCTAGTGGCATTTTCTCATATAATGCTAATGTATACTCTGGAGATTTGTTCTTATGGCCTTTAAATAGTTTAAACAAAATAATCAGTGCTCAGGTATCTGTCGTGGCAGAATAATAAAGGAGTGTCTTTGGAGATACTTCTGAGCTATGATGTTTAATGGTTCCCTAATACTTCGTAAACAAAGCTGAATACCTTAGGTTTTTTGCAATCTGGCTAGAATCTTTTATCTAAGACTGCATCAGAACTTGGTACCTTTGCCCATCTTATTTCCTTTGCTAATTTTGACCCTTCGGCCTCAGATCACCTCCTTCCTCTTGTCTTCTTTATCTGCATGAATCATTTCCATTTATTCTTCTTTTCCCCTTTTTATTTAATTTACTGGGGTGACATTGGTTAATAAAATTAAATAGTCTTCAGGTGTACAATTCTGTGATACATCATCTGTATATTGTGTGTTCACCACCCCAAATTGAGTCTCCTTTCATCAGCCTTTACCTCCCCAGACCCTCTTCTATCTCCCCAATTCCTCCTTTTCCCTCTGGTAATCACCATACTGTTGTCTATCTGAGTTTTGTTTTCTTTTGGATTTTGCTTAATCCCTTCATCTTTTCCACCCAGCCCTGCAACTCCCCTCCTCTCTATCACGGTCCCACTGAACTGTCGTCGCTGACTTGATGCCCCATCCCCTCCTCTTCATTTCCTTAGCCACAGGTCCACCACCCCAGTAACCCCAGGAGCCCTCTGTGCTTTGAAACAGTTTAATTTTAAGTACTGTCTCTGAGCCTTGCAGGCTTCCACCTTGTACTCTGGCTGTGTGTGTGTGTGTGTGTTATCTTCTCTACTAAAAGTTAAGTTCCTTGAACTGGGATCTTTTCATCCTTCCACCTTGGAAGCCTTCACAGTACTACTAAGTCAGTACATTTTATATAGGAGATGCTGAGTATTTATTCAGACTGTTATTGACACCTACTTTTTGGCAGTGCACCACAGGATAGCAAGAATTTACAGAAGAGGTTTCTACCTGAGTTCAGTGCTCTAACAATAAGGCCTCACAACCACTTGGATCTCTAAAGAGCTATTGCAAGTTTAGATCTTTTTCTGAAAGTCCCACCCATCATTGTCTCTTGAGGCACCTGATCTGAGGTAGTTAATTAATCATCTGTTTTCATAGAGGTGGAGTAGTACAGTATTTTTTACTATAGACCCCATTGCCTGCCTTGCACACAATATCTGGCACATAGTAGGTGTCAAATATTTGTTGAGAGGTACAATTCTCAGGCAAATTTGATCGTACAAGGCTTTATCATAGCCAATTATGAAAAAACACCTTTGACATGGAGAAAATTAAATTTAGACTAGGTATTAAATTCTAGATATTGTTCATTGTATTCAGTATGATAATGGTATTGTGGCTATGTTTGTTATTTTTTTACTAGTAAGTCCTTATCTCTTGGTAATACCAAGTATTTAAAGGTGAAATGTTAGATGCCTTGGATTTGCTATGAAGTCCTTGGGGGTTGTAACATGGGGGTCCATTACACTAGTCTCTACTTTTGTATGTATTTGAAATTTTCCATAATTAAAATATTTTAAATTATTTATAGTTGGTGCAGCCCAGGAGCTCCTTAAATCAATTGCCTTTTTAAATTCCAAGTACATAGCAAAAATGAATAAATTGCTCCAAGAAATTAACAAGATTTAGTTATTTTAAAAAAATGTAACAGTTACACCAGTCTGATAACATGCTGAAGTCTCTACCCTAATGGCAAGCCCAGCTGTGTTCTCTCACAACATCCTGAGCTTCCTCATGCTGGCACTGACCCCACTGCGCTGTCCTTGCCTTTCCTTGTCTGACCTCACTGCTGTGAAGTCTGTGAGGGCCGGGACCAGTTCTGTTTCCGCCTTTATTTTATTCCCAGAGCCCACTGCTCAAAGGACATTTGATGAATACAAGAACAGAAAGAAATGTTCAATGTATCTGTCTTGCTTATTTGATTTTTGGCTCTACTGTTAAGAACTTTAACTTTCCTGCAGGCAGACAAGCTGCTAAAAGCCTTGAAAGCCCACCTGAAACGGGAAGCAAGAAGAGAAAATGGAAATCAGGTAAGTAAGGTTTTTTCATCACCTGTTTAGCAAAACAATCATGTTTAGAAATGAATGATACGCATAATTAGTGATGTCTTTTAAGACATAGTGTTTATTACCAAAAAGATCATGATTGGTTATGGTGAGTCCTTTCATAAAAACTATTGGTTGTAAATGGTGAAAGTGCCTTGCAGCAAGTAATCTGTTGAATAAGATGTTCTTGTACAATTGCAAAAGTTAACTATGCAGTTGCCAAAAGTTGTAAGAGATAACTTGATATGAGTAGGGAAGGAACTAGATTCAAAGTCAGAAAAACCCAGGTTAAGTAGCAACTTTGTCATTTTCTTGTGTATCACCTGAGAAAACTCAGACTCCTTGATTCTTAGTTTCCCTGTTCTGAGTGAAAGAGGCTTGTAGCAAATTGTAAAGCACTGCTGATGGCAGAGGTTGTCTTGGCTGCTTTAAATCTACACCACAGATTTCTGAGAGGGCATGCCGCCTGAAAGGATCAGTGAAGGCTTCATTGGGGCCTTGAAATAGGGAAAGTGTTGAAAGGCCTTATGGAACTGAGCCTTGGAGAGCATCTGTTATGTATCTGGAAATGAATATAAACATGAACTGAAAATCTAACTTCCTCTTCTCTGACTGTATACTCTCTGTAGCTGTATTCCAAGTTATAAACATTTAAAATTCCTTTGATTCCGGGTTTTAATTAACTAAAAATAGACAACAAAAAAGAATTAATAGTTTTTACATCAACTAAATAATTTCATTTGTGTGTGTGTGTGTTTAAATGATTAAGGATACATGATTATAGTGCTATCTGAAATCCTTATTTACTTTGGATAGTAATTGATAAACTAAATTTAAAATGATCTATCATATTTTAAATTCAGCATCTCAGGAGCCATTCTTTTTTAAAAAGTTACACAAGAGCAGGATGCTAGTCATCATTCAGTCAGATAGAGAATTCCTAAGTGGTGAATCTATCAATCTTGAGCTTAGATTGGTAGAAAAACCTGACGGACAAAACGTTTATTTATCTAAGACTACAGGAGTCAGCACAATCCAAATACATGGCAAAGAGATCATTAATGTCCCCAAGGATAGACAAACGAGTAAGCTTCCAGACCCCCAAATCATTACCTGGGGAATGCCCAGGTGTGGATCATATCTGAGTGAGTGTGACATCAGACCTAATGGAAGCCTTATTCTCCCACTAGAGGTCAGCCTTAACTATGAATTGGAGCAGCTCTAGATGTAGATGAGTCTGGCTGTGTGCCTCTTTGGTCTTTTTTTTTTTTTTTTAAATTTCAGAGAGGAATGGAGAGGAAGAGAAAGATAGAAACATCAATGATGAGAGAGAATCATTGATCAGCTGCCTCCAGCATGTCCCCTATTGGGAATCAAGCCCACAATCCAGGCATGTGCCCTGACCGGGAATTGAACCATGACCTCCTGGTTCATAGGACACTCAGCCACTGAGCCACGCCTGCCGGGCCTTGGATTTAGACAAGTCTGTTATAGTTAGGCATGGCGCATTCAGGAATGAACACATCGCTATCACTGTTGGCCTCCCGTCTAACATACCATGGTTAAGGTGTGGGGTTAAAGCAAGACATCTCTGAGAGTTGTGCTAACAGGCTTCTAAACCAGCTATAGCACCTATACTGTGAAGTGCTACTATGGGGGCTGGATTAGAGGGTGGCGTGAATAACCACTTTAAAAGTATCTGTATATCCAGTAATACATGGTGTAACCCGAAGGTACCACTTTTATAGTGGAAAATTTCTTCTTTTTCTTTTCACTGTCTTCCCCACAACTATTCGTGGAGTTGGGAAGTCAGATCCAGATAGTATCTTTCTACTCTCATATAAGTATCCCTGCTCCTTTGAAGTTATGCTCACCTATTCTCATTTCTTATCTGTTGGCCTTCCTGTTGCTTTCTGATGTTCACTGTCACTTGTCTTCCTCATCACCTCATGTCCTGACCTTATTTGGGGTGAATTCAGAGGTTCATCTGGATGTCTCTTACACCCTTATCTCCTGGTTCCTTAACTCCTATGACTTTCGTTTCTGCTATTCATCAGCCATCCATTTCATTGAGCATATTCTGGACTTTATATCCCTTGGAACTATACTAGTTGGTAATATTTCACCTCTGACTAAAACCTTCCACTCTCTAAGTGGAAGCCTCCTTATTCTTTCACTCCCAACACATTTACTTTATTTATTTATATTTTTTTATCGATTTCAGAGAGGAAAGGAGAGGGAAAGAGAGATAGAACATCAATGATGAGCAGGAAACATTGATCAGCTGCCTCCTGCGCACCCCTCACTGGGGATTGAGCCTGCAACCTGGGCATGTGCCTTTGACCAGAATCGAACCTGGGATGCTTCAGTCGGCAGCCCGACGCTCTATCTACAGAGCCAAACCAGCTAGAGCCCAACACATTTACTTTATACTATGGTTCTCAATCCAGGTTGTGTGGGAAAATCATTTGGGGAGAATTATTTTTAAAAATATTGGTATATAGGCCTCACTAAAACCCAGGCCCACTAAATCACTCTCAGAGGGTGGGGTCCAGGTATTATAGTGAAATGGACTGAAAAGTCAGGATACAAAGCAGTCTATCCCCCACTTCCATGTGCGGCTAAAATATTAGAAGGTTTCTCTGCAAGGAAAGTAAATGGTTATCAAGCAAAGGGCTTCTGGCAATCAAGGATCCCCAGCACCATAGCCTCCTCCTAAGGAACCTACTAGATCAAGATTCCACCAGATAACGAGCACTCACATTCAAACTCCTAATGAGGTTTTTGCTCTGAAATATGAAAAAACGACCAATAGTCATAGGCATTTGAGGAAAGCCTGTAGTCAGAGTTTAAGGAAAAGAAAAAAATGACCCTAGGCCAGGGGTGGGCAAACTTTTTGACTCGAGGGCCACAATGGGTTCTTAAACTGGACCGGAGGGCCGGAACAAAAGCATGGATGGAGTGTTTGTGTGAACTAATATAAATTCAAAGTAAACATCATTACATAAAAGGGTACCATCTTTTTTTTTTTTTTTTTTTTTTAGTTTTATTCATTTCAAACGGGCAGATCCGGCCCACTGGCCGTAGTTTGCCCACGGCTGCCCTAGGCTCTGGCTGGGTAGCTCCGTTGGTTAGCTCATCATCCCCAAACACCAAGGTTGTAGGTTTCATCCCTCAGGGCACATACAAGAATCAACCAATAGCCTGGCTGGGGTGCTCAGTAGTTGCATATCCACCGATGAACCTGAACCGGAAGATCACAGGTTGATTCCCAGTCAGCTCGATCCCAACTCAGTGGGGGGCATGTAGGAGGCAGCTAATCAGTGATTCTCTCTCATTAATGTTTCTATCACTCTCCCCCTCTCCCTTCCTCTCTGAAATCAATTAAAAAAAATGTTTTAAAAAAATGAACCAATTAATCATAAGTGGAACAACAAACTGATGTTTCTTTCTCTCTAAAATCAATTAAAAAAAAATTACCCTAAATAAAACAAAGATGATACAGAAAACAAAATTTTTTTGTTTTATAAAGTCTTACAATAACTTATTTATCAATAACTTAGAATCAAGCTACACAGAAAAGGCACAGATGATTCAGTTAAGATTACATAATCTGTAAATGTTATCAACTTGGATGCTTAAAGAGAATAGAGGACAGAAATTGAGAGGGGAAGGGAAGTGTAGGGATCTGCAGTTTACAAGTAGATGTATATAGTTGTGGAACAAGATTTAAGGTCTTTAGCATATTTAAAGCTGCAAAGGTATCTGAGTGATTAAAGTGGTATGACTCTGTTAGGAAGAACATGGGGAGGTGAGGGATACAAATGAGACAAATTGTAGCACATGATAGGCACTAAATACAGCTATTGGAAATGTAAGTGGGAAAAAAAGAAAATATAAGTGAATATCTCATCAGCAAATCACCGGTGATATATAAGTAGCCACCTGAAATTAAGCTTGGGAAATAGGAAAGGTAGGCAGAGAACCAACTGCTTTTCATTATAATCTCTTTAGTATTTTTTTTTTTTGGCCATATGTACATGTTTTTAATTAGTTTATTTTTAAAAATTAGAACTTATGAATAAAAAAATTAGAAAAGCACCAAAAACAAACCAAACCTTTCCTTTAATAGTCTACAAGTAAAAAAGCCTCCCCTCATGTGAGTATTTTCTAGTGCTTTTATCTTTTCATCTTTTACATTTAAATTTCTAATACATTCAGATTTCATTTTGGTGTGAGAAAATGATCAAGGTTCATTGTCCCCCCCCCCCCAAAAAAAAAAGTATTAAAAACAATTTTCTCAGCATCACCTGTTGAATAATGAATCCAACCTTCCCCAACAAATATGAGGTGTAACCATTATCACACAATGATTTAGTATATAAGCAGGTCTGTTTGAGATGTTCTGGTCACCTGTTCTGCACTGTTTTGACAATGTAGCTCTTTACTTTTAGTTTATGGTAGAGAAGTACTGTCCTTACTTTACTCCTTATTTTCACCTTTGACAAGTTGCTTTGGACTCTCTAAGCCCCCGTTTCCCCATCTGTGCACTGTGGATAATATTACCTATCTCATAGCTTTGAGAAATAAATGAGATAATCAAGGTAAACAGTTCAATAAAGTTGTGATATTAGCTGTAATTATTATTAGTTATAGGGTACTGCCTAGTATATAGCATATATTCAATAAATTCATGCACTTTTTTTTAACAGAATGCCAGGCATCCATTATATATATATATTTTTTAATATATTTTATTGATTTTTTACAGAGAGGAAGGGAGAGGGATAGAGAGTTAAAAACATCGATGAGAGAGAAACATCGATCAGCTGCCTCCTGCACACCCCCCACTGGAGATGTGCCCACAACCAAGGCACATGCCCCCAACCGGAATCGAACCTGGAACTCCTCAGTCTACAGGCCGACGCTCTAGCCACTGAGCCAAACTGGTCAGGGTATATATATATATATATATATATATATATATATGTATTTTAATATATTTTATTGATTTTTTACAGAAAGGAAGGGAGAGAGATAGAGAGTTAGAAACATCGATGAGAGAGAAACATCGGTCAGCTGCCTCCTGCACATCTCCTACTGGGGATGTGCCCGCAACCCAGGTACATGCCCTTGACCGGAATCGAACCTGGGACCTTTCAGTCTGCAAGCCGACGCTCTATCCACTGAGCCAAACTGGTTTCGGCATATATTTTTTTATATAATATATTTTTATTGATTTTCAAGAAGAAGGGAGAGGGAGAAAGAAATAGAAACATCAATGGTGAGAGAGAATCATTGATCTGCTGCCTCCTGCATGCCCCCTACCGCAACCCAGGGATGTGCACTGTGACCTCCTGGTTGCCAGGTCAACGCCCAACCACTGAGCCACACTGGTTGGACGTAATATATGTTTTTTATTCAGTTTAAATGCTCATTCTTTCTGAGTATTATGCCTCTATACAGAGGACATGGTAGATTAATATATCTCTTTTCAGGATGAAAGCCAAACTTCTGCATCCTCTTGTGATGAGACTGAGCTGCAGATCAGCAGTCAGAAACAAGCTGAGTGGGAACCAGCTGGTCATGTCACTAAGAAAAGGAGAAGGCGTAGGACTGTCCACAGCAATCCTGACTCCCAGGTAAATGGAGGTGTGCAAATTGAAAATAAGCCACCACCTGTGCCAAAATTGGCATATTCTTAGGGAATTTTTTGTCAATTCTCTTATGCTATCGGTAGTGGTAAACACTGTGTGTTGTAAGCTCCATGAATGCACAACCCCAAATCTAGGCTGCTCATCACCTTGCCCCGGACGCTTGCACTCAGGAAGCACTTGTTAAGTCTATAAGAGAGTAAATATTTATTGAAGAAATACAAACCTTCATTAAGAGTTTCTTAAGTGAGGTGTAGTAAATACGAAGGAAAGAAACTGACATTAAATATGATTTTCCCCCCTCTTTCCTAGCCTGTCTTAGACCTGGTGGTCACACTATTCTTAGTCTTATAGCAGCAAGGTCAGATGATTGCAGGGGCTTCCCTCACTTGCTTTGAGAGGACTCTGATTATATTATCCTTTCATTCAAACAATTTTTACAATGCTTAGCCCTAGTATTTATTTGCTAGCTTTGTACAGTCCCTTAGTTGGTAGCCTATCGGGGTCTCTTAGTGTTAGTTTCTCGTCCCTAAAAGAGTTAATCTTACCATTTATGCCTTTCAATGGTCCCTAGTATCTCCTAGTTCCTGATTCACACTCTTGTGACACTTGATGGGGCAGAGAACCAAACCTGCCAATCGAAATCTTATTCTACTTTAACAACTTTCCCCCTCAGCTAGGTACTCATCTTTTTTTTTTTTAAGCATTCATTTATTTTTTTATTGATATTTAGACATAGTGGAAGAGAGGGGTAAAGACAGAAAAACATCGATTGGTTGCCTCCAGCACCTGCCCTGACCAGGGCCCAAGCCAACGAGAAGCCTGCAACCGTGGTACATGCCCTTAACCATAATTGAACCTGGGACTCTTCAGTCCACAGGCCAAAACTCTATCTACTAAGCCAAACCAGCTAGGGCTTGGTATTCATCTTTTGAAGGTAGTGATTACTTCTTTTTTTAAATATCTGACTATAAACAATGTTTTCAATTTTTAATGGCATATTTTTAAATTGAGATATCATTGGCATATAAGATTAATTTAGTTTCAGGTGTACAATTGAATGATTCAATCGATTTTTGTATGCATTGGGAAATGAGCATCATAATTCTAGTTCATATCCATCACCATATATAGTTACAAAAATATTTTTCTTTTAAGATGTATGTACCCTCTTAGCAACTTTCAAATGTGATGACTTCTTATTTATTATTTATTTTTTTTATAGTGCTACTTTATTTATTTTTTTTTTAATTAAATCTTTATTGTTCAGATTATTACAGTTGTTCCTCTTTTTTTCCCATAGCTCCCCTCCACCCGGTTCCCTCCCCACCCTCTGCCCTCACCCCCTCCCACCTCCCGCAGTGTTCTTATCCATACATGCACGATTTTTGTCCAGTCTCTTCCTGCATCCCCCACACCCCTGTCCCCCCCAAGAATAGTCAGTCCACTCCCTTTCTATGCCCCTGATTCTATTATAATCACCAGTATATTCTGTTCATCAGATTATTTATTCACTTGACTTTTAGATTCACTTGTTGATAGATGTGTATTTATTGTTCATAATTTGTATCTTTACCTTTTTCTTCTTCTTCCTCTTCTTAAAGGATACCTTTCAGCATTTCATATAATGCTGGTTTGGTGGTGATGAACTCCTTTAGCTTTTCCTTATCTGTGAAGCTCTTTATCTGGCCTTCAATTCTGAATGATAGCTTTGCTGGATAAATTAATCTTGGTTGTAGGTTCTTGGCATTCATCACTTTGAATATTTCTTGCTACTCCCTTCTGGCCTGCAAAGTTTCTGTTGAGAAATCAGTTGACAGTCGTATGGGTACTCCCTTGTAGGTAACTGACTGTCTTTCTATTGCTGCTTTTAGGATTCTCTCTTTGTCTTTTGCTCTTGGCATTTTAATTATGATGTGTCTTGGTGTGGTCCTCTTTGGATTCCTTTTGTTTGGGGTTCTCTGCGCTTCCTGGACCTGTAAGTCTATTTCTTTCACCAGGTAGGGGAAGTTTTCTGTCATTATTTCTCCAAATAGGTTTTCAATATCTTGCTCTCTCTCTTCTTCTGGCACCCCTATAATTTGGATGTTGGTACACTTGAAGTTGTCCCAGAGGCTCCTTACACTATCTTCGTATTTTTGGATTCTTTTTTCATTTTGCTTTTCCAATTCGGTGTTTTTTGCTTCTTCGTATTTCAAATCTTTGACTTAATTCTTGCGATCCTCTAGTCTGCTGTTGGAACTCTGCATAATATCCTTTATTTCAGTCAGTGTATGCTTAATTTCTAGTTGGTCCTTTTTCATAACCTCAAGGGTCTTACTAGATTTTTTTGAAGGTCTCACTACATTTATCGGTGGTCTCACCAGTCTTTTTGAGGGTCTTACTAAATTTATCAGCGGTATTTAGAAAGTTCTTGAAACACCTTAAAAGTGTGGTTTTGAACTCTATATCCAGTCATTTGCTTTCTTCCATTTCTGTCATTTGTCACCTGTTTCTTTGTCTCCGCATTTTTTATACTTCCCTGTGTTGGTAGAGTGGCTTTGTGTGCTAGGTGTCCTATAGGGCCCAGTGGCTCAGCCTCCCCAATTACCTGAGGTGGACACTCTTGGTGCACCCCCTTGTGGGCTTTGTGCACAGTCTTGTTGTAGTTAAGCCTTGATTGTTGTAGGTATCATTGGGAGGAATTGACCTCCAGGCCAATTGGCTGTGAGAATCAGCTGTGTCTACGGTGGGAGAACTTCTGTGCTGAAGACACCCTTATGAGGCAAGACTTGCTTCAGTGGAGCTTTGGTGCTCATTGAGTCTGCCCCTTGAGTGTGTCCCTTATGGATCTGAGGAGTTGTAATTGGATGGTCCCACTCTGACCACTGGGTACACTGGCTCTTGGATCTAAGGAGGTGCTAATTTAGCCTCTGCCTGAGGCTACCCAGCAGGAGCTCCAAGGAGATCTGCAGATTCCCCTTCCTTGTTTGGGGTTTGGAGGAGCCCAAATGAGGCCCAGCTGTGAAGCAATGCAAGCTGCTGTGGGGTCTTGGGCCTTCTCTTGGAAGTTCTGGGTCTGTCAGGCCCAGCTGCAGTTTGTTAGGTAATTTTCAGATTCAAAGGGCCAGGGCATTCATATGCAAAAGCCTCTGCTCTCAGCTTGGGTGGGGTGGGGTTTCAGGGAATCAACAGGGCGGGGCAAGCAACTATGGCTGATTCCCAGCCCTTCCCTAATGGGGCCTCGTGTCTCAGTGTCCCGGTAATCTCTGCAAGCACCTTTGAGAGAAAGCTGCCCTCGAGTTCCCAGTTCTGCCCACTGCCAGACAGTCCAGTTTCTCCCTGTATTAGTCTGGGTCCCCAGAGACTCACCCGGAACTGGAGTTCCGAGCAGTCGGGGGCTTGTGACTCCCTCCCGATTCAAAAAGACAGCCGTGTCCTCAGTTGCCAGCCCTTGCAGCGTGCACCTCAGTATCTCTGCACTTCCGCACCTCCTCTGAGTCTCAGTGTGCTTTTCTCTTTCCTTCTAGTTGTAGAATTTCCACTCAGCCAGCCTTCCTGTGGTTCTGGATGATGTCCATTTTGTCTTTTAGTTGTATTTTTGAAGTGGTTGTGCAAGGCATTAATTTCAGGTGTTTACCTATGCCGCCATCTTGGTTTTCTCCCTTATTTATTATTTAAATCATTTATTTCCTTTTTCCATTTGTAGCAGGATCATTCAGAGATAAAAACAAGTGATCCCACTGAGTTCCAGAATCAAGAAAAGCAGGAAAACCAGGCTCTCACACCTGTTGCAGAAGTTCCATCTCCACCAGATGAGAGACAAGGAAACGAGAATGCAGTGTCCTCAGGAAATAGCGGAATAAATGGTATGCCAAGTAACTAAAAAAACCCAGAACTACTAGGGCAGCATGTGCCTTAGATTCCTATGATTGCTGTAATGAAGTGCTACAAATTGGGTGGCTTAAAATAACACATTTATTCTCTTACAGCTCTGGAGGCTGGAAGTCTGAAATCAAGGTGTCAGTATGCCCATTCTCCTTCTAGACCCTGGATAGAATCTGGCCTGGCCTAGTCTAACATTTAGTGGTGGCAATTGATCCTGTGTTTCTTGGCTTGCATCTAAATTAGTCTGTTTTATGGCATTCTCTCTGTCTTAAAGGACACTAGTCTTGCCCTAGCTGGTTTAGCTCAGTGAATAGAGCATCAGCCCGCAGAGTAGGAGGGTCCTGTGTTCAATTCTGGTCAAGGGCATGTACCTGTGTTGTAGGCTCAATCCTCATCCCTGGTTGGAGCATGAGTGGGAGGCAACCAATCAATGTGTCTCCCTGATATCAATGTTTCTCTATCTCTCTCCATCTGTCCCTTCCCTTCCACTTTCAAAAATCAATGGGGGAAATATCCTCAGTTGAGGATTTAAAAAAGGACACCAGCCAAAACCGGTTTGGCTCAGTGGATAGAGTGTCGGCCTGCGGACTGAAAGGTCCCAGGTTCGATTCCGGTCAAGGGCATGTACCTGGGTTGCAGGCATATCCCCAGCGGGGGATGTGCAGGAGGCAGCTGATCGATGTTTCTCTCTCATCGATGTTTCTAACTCTCTATCTCTCTCCCTTCCTCTCTATAAAAAATCAATAAAATATATTTTTAAAAAAATAAATAAATAAATAAAAAAGGACACCAGTCCTGTTGGATTAGGGCTTTCACCCTAATGACTTCATCTTAATTTGATGACATCTACCAAGAATCTATCTATAATAAAGTGTAATATACTAATTAGACTGGACGTCCTTCTGGATGACCTTCCAGATGAAGCCAGGGCTGCGAGAGAAGCCCAGGTCCTGGGTGCCAGAGGGAAACCAGTGCTGGTAGCTACGGGAAGGAAAGCCCACTCTTGCAGAAATTTCATGCATCGGGCCTCTAGTTTACAAATAAAGTTATATCACGGTTACTGGAGGTTAATATCCTAGCATATCTTTTGGGGGGAATATAGTTCAACCCATAACACCATTTTATAGCACTTATAAAGGTTTGACAATTAAAGTAAAAGTTTGAACCAAATATAGTAGGCCATCAGATCATCTTTATTAATTTTAAAAACCAGAATAAGAGTGGTAGCTGGGATTAAATATGAACACCCTAGCCAGACTGGAAGCCCCTGAGGGCCAGTGCCACATACTCTTCTGTATGTTCATAACATGTAGCCGACTTGTGGGCACATAGTAAATGCTCAGCAGCTTCAGAAGCCAGAACCGAGTGTGTAGAGAGAGTGTGGAAACCACGCAGTAAGCGGGCACCTTCTAGTCGAGCAGCCTGGGGCCTGAGGCCTGCCCTGAGCTTCCATTTGTCACCCAATGTGCTAACGTGAACTCGCATTTACACTCTTAAATATATTGTCTCTGTTCAAAAAAAAAGAGTGGTAGCTGGGAAGTTTAGAGAATTGGTCTCTACTCAGTGATGAGGAGAGCCAGCATTTTGTTCATTAGTTCCTTCTGGCTTACTTCCAAGACAGGTGCAAAGACCTGTTTGCCTGATCAGGATAATTAAAAGGGAGTTGCAAAGTCTACCTTCCCAGTGGTGTGGCCTTTTTAAAATTATGATATATATATATATATGTATGTATGTATATATATATATATATATATCTCCCTTATATCCAAATAGACCAAGTAGCAGAACAACTGGTTGCTATGATGTGTGCTGACAACCAGGGGGCGCGCATGGAACATGGTGGGCGTCGGCCGTGGTGGGATGGCGGAGCAGTTGAGTGGGGGCGCCAGACCAAGGCGGGTGTCAGCTGCTGTCATTGGGGCGAGCCTCTATTAGTTACTGAAAATTCTTTGCTCCCATGTGCCGTGGTCCTGCCTGGTGCTTGCACCTGCTGCTGGTGCCAGCCCCGCTGACACCTGAAGCCAGCATCGGAGCTGCTGCTAGCACCTGCTGTTGGACCCCAGCACCAGCCCTGATCGCTCGGTTCCGTCAGCAGGTGCGAGTGGTGGCTGCCGGCCCGATTGCCCCTGAGGGCTTCTCTACCTCCCCCTGCTCCTGAGGGGCCATTGGGGCAGCACCTGCCGCTTGCACCCACTGACAGTGCCGGTCCTGCTCGCATCCCCTGCTGGCGCCAGCCGCAATGGCTCTGCGCCTTCAGCGGGTATGAGTGTGGCCAGGGCCATTAGTGCATGGGAGTGGCATCTGGCAGGAGCGGGGCTGCCTGCAGACAGGGACCGGGAGCTATGGCTGGAGAGTTCAGGTGCGGGCACGGAGGATGGGCTGAGAACCGCCCCTGTGCCCACCATAGCCTCGCAGCCCACAGTTCCTTTCAAGGTGCACAAATTCGTGCACTGGGCCCCTAGTGTTTGTATATCTTCTTAGATTCTAACCTCCTAAAAACCTCTTCCCTAAACTTCTCAACTAAAAGTTTGTTTCAATAAGATCAGAAAACTTCAATTCCTGTATACCTAACAGGACTTCTGCTTTCTGATTTCCTTCCTGAGGAAGCCTGCCAATTGCAACAGTCAATTACCTGGTCCAGGATCCAACAAGCATTTAAATGCAGAATTTCTAATGCTGAGCCTTCCCATTTCCCCCTCCCTGTTTTTTTTTTTTTTGTTTGTTTTGTTTTTTAATAATACTGACCCGAGGATATTTTTTCATTTTCTTCTCCTCCTCCTCCTCCTCCTCCTCCTCCTCCCCCTCCCCCTCCTCCCCTCCCCCTCCCCCCCCCCCCCTCCCCCTCCCCCCCTTCCCCTCCTCCCCCCTCCCCCTCCCCCTCCTCCTCCTCCTCCTCCCCCTCCTCCCCTTCCCCCTCTCCCTCCCCCTCCCCCTCCTCCTCCTCCTTCTCCATCTCCATCATGAAAGGGAGGGGGATTGAGAGAGAGAAACATCAATGTGAGGGAGACACATCAATTGGTTGCCTCCCACATGCACCCCAACCAGGGGCCAGGGATCAAACCTGTAATCAAGGTATGTGCCCTTGACCGGAATCTAACCCTTGACCCTTCAAACTGTGAGCCGAGGCTCTGACCACTGAGCAAAATCAACTAGAGCATCTTTATCTTTTCATGCATATGCCTCACATACCTATTTTAAAACCATGATTTAAAGAAAGTTGTTAGGAAGTATGACAAAGCGCCAAAAGTGGGGGTAGAATTACAGATGTCTGCTATTCCACCAATTATTTTATCCAGAAGATGTAGCTTTAGGACTAAGTTTCGATGCCATAGAAAAACTGAGTGTGGAACCATTAAGTCAGGTTTGACTAAGGAAACATAGCTGTTTGAAGGAGAAAAATTTGATCATATAGTTAGTTTCTGTTGAGAGAATTTTTTTTTAACTTTTTATTTTGATATAATTTCAGACTTAAAGTTGCAAGAATAATACCAAGAATTTCTATGTCTTTTTCACCTAGATTTCCCAAATGTTAACACTTACTACATTATTTCCTCTCTGTTTATATTTATGTATATATATGTATATATATACATAAATGTATATATGTATATACATGTATTTATGTATATACATATATGTGTGGTATACATTTTTTTCCTGAACTGTTTGAGAGTAAGCTGCAGATATGTGCTCTTTTACCCTAAATTAGTGGTTCCCAACCTGAGTCACATGCCCCACAGGGGGGCAATTTGATTTTTAAGATTTTTAAGCGGGGACAATTTGAGAATGAGTTATTAATGAATTTTTTGCATTTCTTATGGTTCTAGGGGCCTCATATACAGTATCCTATATAATAAAGAGCTAATATGCAAATAGTAGTCACACTGTGACACCATAACAAACGATCAGCAGGGACCTGAGGCTGCGTGGCTCTGGGGCTGGGGTACCTGAAGCCACGCCCCCTGCCCCGGCACCAGGATGTGAGGCTGCTTCCCCCATCCGGCGGGGCTTGACAGTGGTGGGGCCGACCGGGTCTTGATGTTGTCCAATGGGGGTGGGGCCAGCTGGACACTTCTATTCTAGAGAAAGGGTAAATAGCAATTTTAAAATATTTCCTCTAATTAATTCTCTTTTAATGGTACAAATTCTGTGTACTGGGCCACTAGTATAAATCTATATTGTGACATATTTATGCATTTCAGTTCTCTATTATATGTTTTGAAACTTTGCTATTTTTTTATATGACTTCATATTTTTTTTAAACAATTTCTTAGTGATTTCCTCAGTACTTCAACTGTCCTTTTGTTCTTTCATTTTTTTCTTTCATGGATACCATGTTCTTTGGAAGCTTGTTTAGACCAAGTTAATGGCCTTTTAGGCTTCCTCCATGTGAATAGGAGTTCACTTTTTGAATAATAAGAATTATATGTCATGGAGGGGGGGGCGGTGCATCAGGATTTTAGAGATGCTTAGGTGGGACATGGCCAAAAAAAGCTTGGGAACCACTGCCCTATATACTTCAGTGTGTGTTTCTCAAAACATAGGGACTTCCTCTCACAAATGTACAGAGTACAAAAGGTTCATTGATTTGGCTTCATATTCCATGTTGCAACTAAAATTTAGGACACCACTACTTGTCAAGTTATGGTATAGTATCAAAAAAGAATATCACAATTATCTGAAAAGGTTATTAAAATACTCTTCCCTTTCAATCACACATCTGTGTGTAGCAAGATTTCTTTTCGTTATATATATCAACCAAAATATGTAACATATTATCTACAGAAGTAGGTAAGAGAATCCAGCTGCCTTGTATAAGTCAAATATTAAATAAATTTTCTTAAAAATACACTCATTTTTTTGTTAGAAACTTATTATCCCAATAATTCTATCCACATATTCCAATAATTCCATCAATTATCTCTCTTAAAACAGGAAATCTCAGCTCACCCTTTGCATTTCATTGTCATGTTTCTTTAGCCTACTTTAATCTGGAATAGTTTCTCAGTCTTCCATTGTCTTTCCGGATGTTGACATTTTTTTGTATAGGCAGGTTTTTTGTGGGGGATCCTCTGACTTGGTTTGTCTAATGCGCTGATGATTAGATTCAGATCATGCACTTTTGGCCGAGGGATGTGTCCTTTACCCCATAAGACACAGGTGTTGGTTTGTCCTGTGACTAGTCATGTTAAGTTCCATCACCTGGTGTGCAGAGGAATGTGTTTTGAAAGACCAGTAAAACCACAATCAATGGGGTATTCAATCAAATGAGATGATTTATATAAGTTCAGAAAATCAAAATAACTTCTCTATTATTTTAGCAAGCAAATAATTACAGAAGAACAGCAGGGTTAAAATATGAAACAGCAATTATTACCTGAGATGATTACCATGCTTCATAAACTTTCATGTACTCACTACTGTGAACTTATTTTTGCCTACCCTTGAATTTGGACTATGCAGGAAAATGCTGTACTTTAAACATACTTATTGATATAGTTACAATTTAAAAATAATATATTTATAATTTACTTTTTAAAAATTAAGCAAAACAGAGAAAGCAAATACGTTAAAAGATTAAGAATCATTAAATCTGTGCAGTATGTGTACATAAAAAAAATAAATAAATAAAAATAAAATAAAAAGTTCCATCACCTGGTGATGGTGGTGTCTGCTACGCTGCTTCCCTGTAAAGTTACTATTTTTCCATTTGTAATTAATAAATACCTTGTGAGGAGTGACCCTGACTCTAAATATCCTGTTTTTCACAGAATTTTTCTCTCTGTTTTTTGTTTTGTTTTGTTTTTAATCCTCACCCAAGGACATGCTTAAAGAAAGGCAGGGAGAGAGAGAAAAACATCAATTGGTTGCCTTCCATACGTTCCCCAACCAGGGATTGAACCTGCAACCCAGGTATGTTTCCTGACCACAACTTTTTGGGGTACGAGACGACGATCTCACCAACTGAGCCACGCCAGCCGGCTCTCTCTGGCTTTAGAGCCAGGGTCCAAGCAGAAGTCCCAGGAGCCCCAACTGCTCTATGGAATATTCTTTGCCTTGTTTAATGGATACATTAGGGAACCTTAAAGATGATGACTTTATAAGTAGTATTACTTGAAATTCCATTTACATGTTTTTAGTAGATTACCTCAAGCTGAAAAATGATTATTAGTGGGGAAAATAGTAGACCTTGTGTACTTCATGATTTCAACTGAATTTAAAGAACAAAAACGAAACAAGTATAGGCATACCTATCTTTATTGTGCTTTGCTTTATTGCGTCTACAGATGTTGCAATTTTTTTACAAATTCAAGGCAAAAAATTACTGCTTGCTTTATTGCAGTGGTCTGGAACAGAACCCTCAGTACCTCAGAGATGTTCCTGTACAGAGAAGCAAAGGACCCGAGGAAACATGCCAGAATGCTAATGATGTGTCTTAGGCTGGTGGGGTCGTGTGTTTTTGTTTTTTTGTTTTTTAAATATTTTTTATTGATTTTTTACAGAGAGGAAGGGAGAGGGATAGAGAGTTAGAAACATCGATGAGAGAGAAACATCGATCAGCTGCCTCCTGCACACCCCCGAGTGGGGCTGTGCCCGCAACCAAGGTACATGCCCTTGACCGGAATCGAACCTGGGACCCTTCAGTCCGCAGGCCGACGCTCTATCCACTGAGCCAAACCGGTTAGGCCGGTTGTGTGCTTTTTATCATTCTAGTTATAATAACATGTTTATAGCAAAGTTATGGAAAAGTGTTTTTAAATTTTTGATATAACTTCTATATAGGAAGCAAAATTTCTGCCTAGTTCAGGCATATGAGCTAAATGTTAGTGATGCTGTAAGTCAGTCGTCGTGCTCCTTGTGTGCCCTTTCTCCCACCACCTTGGCAGAGCCTATCACATGAATATTCTCGTGACATTTGTTGAAGTCTTTTCATTGGTTCTGTATCTTTGTATTCAGGTAATGAAGATTCAAAGGTACCTTCAGAAAGAAAGAAGTCTGTCTACACAGATGGGTTTTCTAAATCTGGAAAAAATAAAAGAATTGCAACCACTACTCCAAGTAAGTTTTGCAGGCTGGTGTTGGAGAGTCAGTTTACTGTCACAGCTAAACGCTGGGATGCTGGAACTGGGGCTGACATCTGTGTTCTCCCATTTTCTAGCTGGGAGACTTTGGGCAGCTTATTTATCCTCAGTAAATCACTTCTTCAGTTGAACATTGAAATAGATGTATTGCCTATTTCATCAGGTTGATATATAGATTAATTGAGCCTATTTTCCACTTCGGATTACCTAGCATAGTAACTAACATGTAGCAGGTATTCACTAAATATCAGAGAATGGATGTCCGTAAAGTACTTGGCATAGTGTCCACTTCATAATAAATTACTTTTAAAAAAAAGTCCAAGATGGTGGTCGCCAACCTTTTGGACCTCACGGACTACCAGGGGTCCGCGGACCACCGGTTGGCGATCGCTGCTCCAAAGGTTTCCTTAAACCAGTGGTCACCAACCTTTCAGACCTCACGGACCACCGGTTGGCAACCACTAGTCTAAGAGACTCCATTTTGGGACATGTAATTCTTCTTCCCTATTTCTTATTCAGAATATATATTTAGAATATATACTTAGAATAGTACAGAAGAGGGGTCAGCAGACTACTGCTCACCTTGGCCTGTCTTCTAGCCCTTGAGCTAAGAATGATTTTTTACACTTAAAAGGGTTCTATGAAAAAAAGAAGAAAATCAGATAGACCATATCATTTGTGGTCACAAAGCCTATTTCCTGTCTGCACTTTACAGAAAAAGTGTGCCAATGCTTGGCATAGAGTTTTCTAAGCATTGTAAAACATCAAATTTATGATTAAAATAAGGCCATTTGATTAATTGGTGAGAGGAGAGGACAAATATGTTATTCTTTTCTTATTCCCTAGACAAAATCAAGATGTCAGTTAGCAGTGGCACAATGGAGAGATGGTGAATATTGAATTGTTTTTAAGATAGATATGCTTTGCCACTGAGTTTCCAAAAACTAAATGTTCTAAATGTTTCAAATTAAAGTTTTGACAAAGATGATACTGAAACTGAATGTTAGGAATGCAGAGGAGAGAATAAGTGTTTATAGGAAAACTAAGGGAAGGTAAATAAATGGATTTTGTTATTAATTTTCATATTTTGTGGAATGTTCTAGACTTTAAGAAGCTTCATGAGGCCCATTTTAAGGAAATGGAGTCCATTGATCAATATATTAAGAGAAAAAAGAAAAATTTTGAACAACACAATTCACTTAATGAACTGAAGGTAATTATGTTCTTAATGGGACTAAAATACTTGGTTTTAATCTTGGTACCGTATATACAGCATGGTTAATATAGCCAGCTTTCGAAGGATTCATGGAATGGATTTGAGTTTAATGCATCTTTATTATCTTAAATTGCTTTCCCCTACCATGAGAATTTTCAAAACCCTTCAGATAAACAGTGAGTCCTCACTATACAGAATGAATTCCAAAGTGGAAATAAGTTATTCTGTTTTCCACATTCAGACATTGTGCCTAACACCTTTGTTGAGGATGGACTGCTATAATTATAGCCGAAGCCATCTTCGTTCCCTGTCTCTTACCTAAAGGAGAAAGGGTGACTAGCAGTGGCCAACTTAAAGGCTCTCAGTGATTACTGACCTCCCCACTGGGCCTTCAGTCCAGGTCCTACTGGACTCAGGGCCCCTTCAAGTAAGAAAAGGTGATCAAGTCAAGCTCCACAGTTGAGTTACTGGAGTGGGGAACTGATAACGTCCTTGGAAGTTGATGCTGTTATCTTACGTGGTATCTGGTGTCCAAAGGAGGCTAGGGAAACATTTATTTTAGAATTTTTTTTTTTTAATATATTTTATTGATTTTTTACAGCAAGGAAGGGAGAGGGATAGAAAGTTAGAAACATCGATGAGAGAGGAACATCGATCAGCTGCCTCCTGCAAACCCTCTACTGGGGATATGCCCACAACCAAGGTACATGCCCTTGACTGGAATCGAACCCGGGACCCTTCAGTCCGCAGGCCGACGCTCTATCCACTGAGCCAAAACGGTCAGGGCTATTTTAGAATTTTTAATAATACTTAACCACCTGCGTTATTTCTCCAAAAGATTTGAGGCAGTTTGTGGTATTACAACACAAAACAGTGTAAAGTCGATTTAAAAAGGGCAGAAGCCCTAGCCAGTTTGGCTCAGTGGATAGAGCATCGGCCTATGGACTGAAGAGTCCTGGGTTCCATTCTGGTCAAGGGCACATGCCCGGGGTTTGGGCTCGGGTTGCAGGCTCGATCCCCAGTAGGGGGTGTGTAGGAGGCACCAATCAATGATTCTCCTCATTAATGTTTCTATCTCTCCCACTCCCTTTCTGAAATCAATAAAAAATATTAAATAAATAAATAAATAAGGCAGAAAATGAACACTGTTAGCAGGTACATTGTCTATTATATCAGTCACTTGGTTGAGTTTTTAGTTTTCTGCCAACAGGGAAATGCACTGGATGATAAATTCTAAATAGTAAAACACACACACACGCACACACACACACATACAGACACACAAACACACAAATCCCATAAGCTTTTTTTTTTTTTAAATATATTTTATTGATTTTTTACAGAGATGAAGGGAGAGGGATAGAGAGTTAGACACATCAATGAGAGAGAAACATCGATCAGCTGCCTCCTGCACACCCCCTACTGGGGATGTGCCCGCAACCAAGGTACATGGAATCGAACCTGGGACCCTTGAGTCCGCAGGCCGACACTCTATCCCAGCCGTGGGCAAACTACGGCCCGCGGGCCGGATCCGGCCCGTTTGAAATGAATAAAACTAAAAAAAAAAAGACCATACCCTTTTATGTAATGATGTTTACTTTGAATTTATATTAGTTCACACAAACACTCCATGCTTTTGTTCCGGCCCTCCGGCCCAGTTTAAGAACCCATGTGGCCCTCGAGTCAAAAAGTTTGCCCACCCCTGCTCTATCCACTGAGCCAAACCAGTCAGGGCTCCCATAAGCTTCTTCATGAGAAGTTTAATCTTGGGTAATAAACATTCATTTGAAAAAGATTCATAAAACCACTATTATACAGTCGAAGACACTGTTTATCAGTCTTCAAGGAAACAGTGACAAAGTCAAGTCATGGCATTAAACATCTCCATTCCTTTATACCGATCAACAATGTGGGTGGAGAATCCAGAGAGGAGATATTTAGAGTGTCCGCAATACTTTCATAAATATTAGTAAGGGCTATCACTACATTCACAGTTGAATATAAATGAGTATCTTATTTTTTAGTGATAGCCCCATCTGAGTGAGTTTACTTCTAAAATCCTTCCTTACCCGATGATTTAAGGAATTGGCCTATCAGATAGGTTATTTAGTATGACCTATTTGGAGACCAGAGAATAAAAATAATTACATGACTTTGACATAGCTGATATGAAGTTTGGGGATTGGTCATCTAGGTAGTGACAGTAATAAATGAGCAAAGATCCTAGAAAAGAATCATCCTAGCTGTGACCAATCTTTCCTTGACTTTCATGATTAGACAAGGGACACCTATTTGATTTGGTTGCCAAATGGCCCTCTGCAAAGATCAGAAACCTTGTGCCCTGAGATACCTGTTTACTTTGTTAACCGTAGTAATGAAAAATTTTTAAAACCTTTGATAATATGAAAAATATCCCAATTGAATTTCTCTGATCATTCTGGTACATGTTTGTTATATACCTTCTATACTAATAAAAGGGTAATATGCTAATTAGACTGGATATCTTCTGAATATCCATCTGGACGTCCTTCCAGACAAGCCATGGTGGTGGGGGCCAAGGCAGAGGCTGTTAGGGGTGATCAGCCGGCAGAGGAGGGCAGTTAGGGGTGACCAGGCTAGCAGGGGAGGGCAGTTGGGGGTGACCAGGCCGGCAGGGGAGGGCAGTTGGGGGCAATCAGGATGTCAGGGGAGGGCAGTTAGGAGCAATCAGGCAGGCAGGGGAGGGCAGTTAGGGGCAAGTAGGCAGAGAGGTTAGGGGCGATCAGGCAGGCAGGCGAGCAGTTAGGGGCATCAGGCAGACAAGCAGAGTAGTTAGGAGCGATCAGACAGACAGGCAGGTGAGCGGTTAGGAGCCAGCGGTCCCAGATTGCAAGAGGTTATGTCCAATTGTCACCAAGGTTTCCCTGATTGGAGAGGGTGCAGGCCAGGCAGAGGGACTACCCCACACCCCCCACCCCCTGCATGAATTTCGTGCACCAGGCCTCTAGTTATAATAATAAAAACGTAATATGCAAATCGACTGAACAGCAGAACGACCGTTCAGATGGCCTTCTGGATGACCATGCTATGACACACACTGGCACCAGGCCAGCCAAGGCGGGTGTGATGTGATTGATCGGTTGACCCCACCATTGCACTACAGAGGGAGGCCCAGGCCACCTTCTGCGCGGTGATTGATTGTGGAGCCCCAGCCTCAGAGCCTAGGCTGGGTGGGCGGGGCCTCCCTCTGTGGGCGATCTGGGGTCCCTGTGATCTATCGCCCCACTGAGAGAGGCCCAGGCCACCAGCCCGCAACGCTGTGGCAGGTGTGCAGGGCCAGCCAGCGATTGCCCTGCAGAGGCCCAGGCCAGCCAAGCAATCACACCCACACCTGTGGCCTGCACGGGGAGGCAACCTGTGGCGGAAGGTGTGAGGGGGGTGCAGCACCACCCTGATGGCAAACAGGGACAGTGGCAGCAGCAGGGGCAGGGCCAGCTACTGGCAGCTAGGAGAAGGAAAGCCCTAATAGGCCATGCCTAGGGACCGTACCCTTGGGGTCCTGGATTGCAAAAGGGCACAGGTCGGGTTGAGGGACACCCTCCCTCTCCCTCCCCCTCCCATGCAGGAATTTCGTGCACCAGGCCTCTAGTATGTTATAATTGGTTGTTTTTCTTTGAATTTGCTTATTTAAATTTTTTGCATGTTTATGAGCCATTAATCTATTTAATGATATATATATTATATGTTATAAATATTTACCCACAGTTTATCTTTTCACTATATTAATAGTGCCTTTTACCTTGTGGAAGGTGTTTTTGTTTTATTTTTAGTTAAATCTATCCAACTTTTCATTTTAAGGCTCTGAGTTGTTTTCATGCACTACCTGTCCCATGATCATAAAAATGTGCTCTTATATTTATATTTACTGTTTTGTTACTTCTTCCCTATGTTTAATCCCATGTTTTTATTTTTGTGTATGATATGATTGAGTTATTTGCTTTGTTAAAACAAGATTTTTATTGCTGCTTGGCTGGTGTGACTCAGTGGTTGAGCATCAACCCATGAACCAGGAGGTCATGGTTTGATTCCTGGTCAGGGCACATGCCCAGGTTATAGGCTCAATCTCCAGTAGGAGGTATGCAGCTATGTCAAAGTCATGTAATTATTTTTATTCTCTGGTCTCCAAATAGGTCATACTAAACATCATCATTGATGTTTTTATCTCTCTCCCTTCTTTCTGAAATCAATAAAAACATATAAAAAACATTATGGAGGGTGGGAGAAGTAGGGGTGGAATTATTTATAGATTATACATACTAATTATGTAATAAATTCTTTGAGTTTGTATTTAATAAACTCTGTATCATGCTCTCAAAGTTACCATATGCCCAAGAGAACCTATTTATTCTTTCTTTCTGGCCACAGAGTCTGTTTAAGCCACATTCTTTAGTTAGAAATACCTGGGGACTTGGGAGGGGCTTTCTATAACACATTACTCAGCACAACCAGAAATTACTATTAAATCCGTCACCATAGCAACACAGGTATAGGAAACTGCCCAGCCTGCCGGGCAGGTAGGATAGGATGAAGTAGTGCAGAAGGAAGGGATGATAGGTGGGTTTAAAAGTGGGGATGATGGGGGCGGGAGATGAAAGGGGTGTAGGGGGAAATAAATGGGAGCGCTCTTCTGCACTTTGCCAAGGTCACAATACTGTCTAAGAGGTCAAGCTTTTTTTTTTTTTTTTAAATATATTTTATTGATTTTTTACAGAGAGGAAGGGAGAGGGATAGAGAGTTAGAAACATCGATGAGACAGAAACATCGATCAGCTGCTTCCTGCACACTCCCACTGGGGATGTGCCCGCAACCAAGGTACATGCCCTTGACTGGAATCGAACCCGAGAACTTTCAGTCAGTAGGCCGATGCTCTGTCCACTGAGCCAAACCAGTCAGGGCGAGGTCAAGCTTTAATAATGTATTTTCCTTTCTCAGAAGCGTTCCATAACTAAGGAAGTGGTGGCAACTCCAGTGGGTCTCCAAAGAAGATTTTCTACGGCTTGTACTCCCTCAAGCCAGCAGCGCTCACAAGGCCAGGCCCCGGGTGCTGCAGATCTGAGCACCTTGTATATGAAGGGGTCGGTCAAGCGTTCCACTCTCTCAGCAACTAAAATGAATGTCAGGTAAAGAACTCCAAAATGTGACAGAGGACAAGGTCTCAAAACTTTATAGCTTCTAATACATTTCAGGTGGACTACATCAAATGTTTTCACGTTGATAAAAAAGAACGAACCCTGGCCAGTTGGTTTAGTTCGTTGGAGTGTTGTCCCCTACACTAAAAAAGGTTGCGTGTTCAATTCCCAGTCAGGGCACATACCGGAGGCAACAGATCGATGTTTCTTTCTCCCTCTCCCTCTCCCTCCCCCTCCCCCTCCCCTTCCCCTCCCTCTCCCCCTCTCCCTCTCCCTCTCTGAAGATATGTGGACCATGACCCACATATCTTCAGGTGAAGAATAAAAAAATAAAAATAAATGAGAAAGAGGATCAGAACAGAGAGAAAGATCAGCAAATGGCTTTTTTATAAGTCCTAATATTTTTCTTTAAATTTGTATTTTGTTTTCTTGTTTAGGCAATTTACCTAAGTTTACATTTAATTTACTAGTATAAAGATAGAAAATAAGATATATATGAATATTTTTCATTTTAATCTACACTTGCAAATATGTGTAAAGAGAAATTTTTTTATTGACTTGAACACACAGTTGCAGCTAAATTCCTATAGAAAAATCTCTTAATGCAGTGAATTAAAAAATGGACTTGTCCTAAAGTAGAAATAATCTAACCCATTGGGCATTGCAGTAGGATAGCTATCTCATGCCCACTGACCCCTGTTTTGTTTGCTTGTACGTTTCCTAACATCAGGGTGCCCCTCAACTACTACTGTCCCTACAGATGAAGATTTTCATGCTTTTTTTTTTTTTTTCATTCCAGAGAGGAAGGGAGAGGGGGAGAGAGAGAGAGAAAGAGAAACATCAATGATGAGAGAGAATCATTGATCGGCTGCCTCCAAGGGATTAAGCCCACAACCCCAGCATGTGCCCTTGACTGGAATCAAACCCAGGACCCTTCATTCTGCAGGCTGACATTCTATCCACTGAACCAAACCGGCTAGGGCATTATCCTTTCTTTTTTTTTTTTTTTTTTTAAATATATTTTATTGATTTTTTACAGAGAGGAAGGGAGAGAGACAGAGAGCTAGAAACATCGATGAGAGAGAAACATCGATCAGCTGCCTCCTGCACATCTCCCACTGGGGATATGCCCGCAACCCAGGCACATGCCCTCGACCGGAATCGAACCCGGGACCCTTCAGTCCGCAGGCCGACGCTCTATCCACTGAGCCAAACCGGTTTCGGCTATCCTTTCTTTTAATACCAAAATTTTATTCTCTCCTTTTTTAAGAGCATCTGCAGCATCTAATAGAGTTGGTGCATGGTAACATGTCCCCAACATGTGCAATTATCTGACATTGTTTTTATCCTCACCTATAGATATGTTTATGGATTTTTTTTTTTTGATTTTTTTTTTGGAGAGAGAAAGGAAGGGGGAAAGAGAACATACATGTGAGAGAGAAACATTGATCTGTTGCCTCCTGTACTCGCCCCGACCAAGGATGGAACCCACAATCCGGGCATGTGCCTTGACTGCGAAGTGAACCTCTCTATGAAAAACCAATCCCCACTGATGTAACAATCCTGCCTATGAAGTCACAATCCTGTCTATGAGGTAACAAACCTGTCTATATAGTAACAATCCAGTCTATGATGTAACAATCCTGTCTATGAAGTAACAATCCTCTCTATGAAGTCACAATCCAGTCTATAAAGTAACAATCCTGTCTATGAAGTCACAATCCTGTCTATGAAGTAACAATCCTCTCTATGAAGTCACAATCCTATGATGTAACAATTCAGTCTATGAAGTATCACTCCTGTCTATGAAGTAACAATCCTGTCTATGAAGTAACAATCCTGTCTATGAAGTAACAATCCAGTCTATGAAGTAACATTCCTGTTTATGAAGTAACAATCCTGTCTATGAAGTCACAATCCAGTCTATGAAGTAACAATCCTCTCTATGAAGTCACAATCCTGTCTACAATGTAACAATACAGGCTATGATATAACAGTCCTGTCTATGAAGTAACAAACCTGTCTATGAAGTAACAATCCTGTGTATGATGTAACAATCCTGTCTATGAAGTCACAAACCTGTCTATGAAGTATCAATCCTGTCTATGAAGTAACAATCCTCTCTATGAAGTACCAAACCTGTCTATGAAAAAACAATACCCACTGATGTAACAATCCTGCCTATGAAGTCACAATCCTGTTTATGAGGTAACAAACCTGTCTATGAAGTAACAATACAGTCTATGAAGTAACAATCCTCTCTATGAAGTCACAATCCAGTCTATGATGTAATAATCCTCTCTATAAAGTCACAATGTTGTGTATGATGTAACAATACAGTCTATGAAGTAACAATCCTGTCTATGATGTAACAACCCTGTCTATGAAGTAAAAATCCAGTCTATGAAGTAACAATCCTGTCTATGAAGTAACAATCCTGTCTATGAAGTCACAATTAAATCTATGAAGGAACAATCCTCTCTATGAAGTCACAATGCTGTCTATGATGTAAAAATACAGTCTATGAAGTAACAATCCTGTCTATGAAGTAACAATCCTGTCTATGATGTCACAATACAGTCTATGAAGTAACAATCCTGTCTATGAGGCAACAATCCTCTCTATGAAGTAACAATCCAATATATGAAGTAACAATCCTCTCTATGAAGTCACAATGCTGTCTATGATGTAACAATACAGTCTATGAAGTAACAATCCTGTTTATGAGGTAACAACCCTCTCTATGAAGTAAAAATCCAGTCTATGATGTAACAATCCTGTCTATGAAGTAACAATTCTGTCTATGAAGTCACAATCCAGTCTATGAAGTCACAATCCTGTCTATGATGTAACAATACAGTCTATGAAGTAGCAATCCTGTCTATGAAGTAACAAAACTGTCTATGAAATAACAATCCAGTCTATGATGTAAGAATTCTGTCTATAAAGTAAGAATCCTGTCTATGAAGTAACAAAACTGTCTATGAAGTAACAATCCTGTCTATGATGTAACAATCCTGTTGAGCCACTGGCCAGAACTGATTTTTTTTTTTTTTAATTGCTTACAGTATTACAAAGGGTATTACATATGTGTCCCTTTTTTTCCCCCGCCCTTGACAATCCCCTGGCCTCCCCAACCCCCCAGTGTCTTATGTCCATTAGTTATGCTTATATGCATGCATACAAGTCCTTTGGTTGATCTCTTACCCCCCTCCCTCCTGCCCTCCAAACCTCCCCGGCCTTCCCGCTGCAGTTTGACAATCTGTTTGAGGCTGCTCTGCCACTGTATCTATTATTGTTCAAAAGCTTATAATGGTCTATATTATCCATGAATGAGTGAGATCATGTGGTATTTTTCCTTCACTGACTGGCTTATTTCACTTAGCATAATGCTCTCCAGTTCCATCCATGCCGTTGCAAATGGTAAGAGTTCCTTCTTTTTTACAGCAGCATAGTATTCCATCCTGTAGATGTACCACAGTTTTCTAATCCATTCATCTACTGATGGGCACTTAGGCTGTTTCCAGATTCTAGCTATGGTGAATTGTGCTGCTATGAACATATGGGTGCATATATCCTTTCTGATTGGTGTTTCTGGTTTCTTGGAATATATTCCTAGAAGTGAGATCACAGGGTCAAATGGGAGTTCCATTTTTAGTTTTTTGAGGAAACTCCATACTGTCTTCCATAGTGGCTGCACCAGTCTGCATTCCCACCAGCAGTGCACAAGTGTTCCTTTTTCTCCACATCCTCTCCAGCACTTGTCGTTTGTTGATTTGTTAATGATAGCCAATCTGACAGGTGTGAGATGGTACCTCATTGTTGTTTTCATTTGCATCTCTTGGATGATTAGTGACTTTGAGCATGTTTTCATATGTCTGTTGGCTTTCTGAATGTCCTCTTTTGAAAGGTGTCTACTTAGGTCCTTTGCCCAATTTTTGATTGGATTGTTTATCTTCCTTTTGTTAAGTTGTATGAGTTCCCTATAAATTTTGGAGATTAGGCCCTTATCAGATATGATATTGGCAAATATGTTTTCCCACGCAGTGGGTTTTCTCGTTGTTTTGTTGATGGTTTCTTTTGCTGTGCAGAAGCTTTTTATTTTGATGTAGTCCCATTTGTTCATTTTCTCTTTCGTTTCAAGTGCCCTAGGAGCTGTATCAGTGAAGAAATTGCTTCGGCATATGTCTGAGATTTTGTTGCCTTTGGATTCTTCTAGAATTTTTATGGTTTCCTGTCGTACATTTAAGTCCTTTATCCATTTTGAGTTTATTTTTGTGTATGGTGTAAGTTGGTGATCTAGTTTCATTTTCTTGCATATACCTGTCCAGTTTTCCCAACACCATTTATTGAAGAGACTATCTTGGCTCCATTGTATGTTCTTGCCTCCTTTGTCAAATATTAATTGAGCATATTGGTTCGGGCCGATTTCTGGGCTCTCTATTCTATTCCATTGATCTATATGCCTGTTCTTGTGCCAGTACCAGGCAGTTTTGAGAACAGTGGCTTTGTAATACATCTTGATATCTGGTATTGAGATCCCACCTACTTTGTTCTTTCTCAGGATTGCTGCAGCTATTCAGGGTCTTTTTTCATTCCAGATGAATTTTTGGAGAGTTCGTTCTAGATCTCTGAAGTATGCCGTTGGTATTTTAATGGGAAGTGCGTTGAATTTATAGATTGCTTTGGGTAGTATGGACATTTTAATGATGTTGATTCTACCAATCCATGAACACGGTATGTTCTTCCATCTGTTTATGTCTTCCTCTATCTCTTTTTTCAACGTCCTGTAGTTTTCTGAGTAGAGGTCTTTTACCTCTTTAGTTAAGTTTATTCCTAGGTAGCTTAATTTTTTTTGGTGCGATGGTGAATGGGATTGTTTTTATAATCTCTCTTTCTGAAAGTTCACTATTGGTGTATAGAAATGCCTCAGATTTCTTGGGGTTAATTTTGTATCCTGCTACATTGCCAAATTCATGTATTAAGTCTAG